ATTTAGGTGCCTCAAGCCCCCACAATAGTTATAGCTGAAGGAAAATAATAAAAATTCAGAAAAAAAAAAAAAAAAAAAAACCCCAAAACTGTATTCCCTTTCCTAATTCTATTCCTTCTTCCCGTTGGAATTGAGCATGCTAGGTGACGAGGTAAAAACAGAGGTTGAGGGAGAATATGATGGGTATTGATGGATTTGCTACAGATGGAACGCCGGAGTTGGGATTCATAATAGAAGAGGAACCCTAAAGAGGTGAAATTGAGGTGATTCTGTGATGCTGATAATGTCCCTCCATTGGATTCTTTCTGCTGTGAAGGAAGATGTTGCCGAAAGCGAGTGCGAGAGAGAGACCGAAGCCCAAATCATAAGACTTACCCTTCCCAACATGACAATTACAGTTATATCCCCAAGACTGTAACCATCCAAAATTCGAGATTCCCCACTTATGAAATCATCCCATCAAAATCCAAACAAGAATTTTTATGAGTCTGCTCAAGGAAGATTAACAGCTTAAACCTTCAAATATATTTTACAATAAAGAAAGACAAAATTACAAACCATAATAAAGACAAGAGAAGGCTGACAATTTTAGACAAGCCAATGCCAACCATAACAAGAACTTCAAACCCGAAAAGCACTTATTCAGGAAACATTAAATTAGAAGCTCTAAAACATCAACTTTGCAACTACCTTCTTCTTTGAACAAGTCTTTTGGCTTTCCTCATCTTCCTTCCACTTTGACTTGGTCGGCCATCAAACAAAGACACGAACCATTTTGGTTTTCCTGTTCGAAAGACATGATATCCCATTAGCAGTCCAAAAACAACTCCACATCCATAGCCTAACACCACAACTCTCCAGTCAAACCTCCACAACTCATCTTTTTCTTGGAAGGAGCTCGGCGGTATCCCAATTCCATCACAAGATTTTGACAATGGGATTCCACACAGTCCAATGTTTCCTTCATAAGAACCATTTCCAAAGGTGTTGAACTGATTGCCCTGTGGTATGCGCCCGACAAGATGATTATTTGAAAGATTCAATACAGAAAGTTGTGTCAAAGATACCAATTCATCTGGAATTTTCCCCGCTAGCTCGTTGGAAGAGAGATCCAACCATTCCAGATTCGTCAAATTCCCTAGTGACGGTGGGATATGACCAGTAAGATTGTTATGAGAAAGATTAAGCCCTTTGAGAGAACTAAGCTTTCCAATAATATCTGGAATTTCTCCCTCAAACATGTTATTTGAGAGATGAATAGTACTGAATATGATCAAGATTCCCTGTAGCTCATAGTCGAATCCCTTCCATGTCACAACCAGTGAATATTGATAAGAACGGCCTCTCGTCCACGCATTCATGTATTCAAGGGAACCATCCTCTCCATGAGGATCCATCATCGCTTTAAAATTTTCCATGTACCGAAGAGGCAAAGGACCACAAAAATCATTGCTGGAGAGGTCCATAACTCGTAACTTGGGAAAAGATGGACTTTCTTTGCTGCTCTGCACAAAACCGTGGAACTTGTTGAACCTTAAGACAAGCACTTGAAGGTCTGGTAGAGATTCCAACCAATGAGGAAATGTATCCTCTATGCTGTTGTTGCCGACGTCTAGAACCTCTAACATGCTACAATTCACCAAAGACCTTGGTAATAGCCCGTCCATTTGATTTCCATGTAAGTTGAGATTTTGTAATCCACAGCCCTCTGGAAACCCAAATGGTATATTTCCATCAAAGTAATTGGCCTGTAAATTCAACACTGAGAGAGACTTAGGAAGACAATTTGGAATCTTCCCGATTAAATTGTTATGAGAAAGGTCAAGAATTTGGAGATCATCCTTTTCACATATCCACTGGGGAATATTTCCATGAATGCTATTTTTGGACAGCACTACACTTTGCAGACCATTTGAATGTCTTATGAAATTGGGGAATTCACTCAAGTTACAAGAAGAAAAGGAAACATCAGTTAGTTTGGATAATGTGAAGTTGGCATTGACATTCATTCTCAAGGACAGATTATTGTTTGAAAGAAAGATGGTTTCCAGATTTTGAAGTGCCGAGAACATGTCAGCTTCTACTAAATCACTAAAATGATGTTAAGATGTGAACATAATTATATTTAGAATTATTGTAAATATTTTATACTTTAGAATATTCTCTTTGTATACTTTATACCTTAGAATATTCTCTTTGTAAACACCTATATATAGGTCATTGTACATATGA